GAAGCATGAAACTCGGAGTAGCGATTAAATGTTTTTAAATTAAGAAGTCTCTCTTAACTCTATATAGCTCTAGTATACCTATTGAGCGCTTTCAATACACGTTGATGAGGTCTACACACCACAACCTGTTATATATATATATATATATTTACTCTCTAGGTAATGTGCTACATCTGAAAAGTGTCCTGACAATGGCTGGACCAGAATTGATAGCCATTGGTCAAAGTCCAGCCGGAGAGAATGCCTGGAATGCGATAGAAAAACATGGCAAGTTTAAATACACCAAGCTTTCCGTGCCCGAGATCAAGGCTGCGAATGTGCTTTATATTAATGGAACAATAATCCATAAAAATGCTTCGTGTATACCAAAGAGTATGCAGGTCCTGAAGTCCTTGAATTGTCGCAGAGTCGTGGTGGATCTGTCGGAATTTGCTAAAGCTGACGGTTGCTTATCATGTTGTTCGTTGCTGATAAAATAGTCGAAGTGTGCTTACTGTAAAGGCGCATTTCCACTTAGGAACGTTTCCCGCAGAAAGAAAATTTTGTAAAATGTAATAGACAACCTGCATGTTAGACTAATTTTTGATTTAGGCAAAAAAAAAGTAAATTCCCGTAAAGAACTTATTAAAATCAGTAAAATTGTAGAATTTGGTTACGAAATGTTGTGAAATACAGAAAATATAGCCTTGTGAAGTTTGCATATTTTCAGTATGTTTGTATTACGTGCGGAAATTATATTCTTACCATTTTTGAACCGAAAACTGGTAACAATTTCCGCACGTAATACAAATATACTGAAAATATGCAAACTTCACAAGGCTATATTTTCTGTATTTTACAACATTTCACAACCAAATTTTGCAATTTTACTAATTTCATTATGTTCTTTTTATCTGTTGTGTTTTATTCCCTTCTCTTTACTTAGATTAAAATTTAGTCTGACATGCAAGTTGTCCATTGAACGACACAAATTTTGCGTCGGAAAAATATTTTGAAGTTGAAAATTTTCAACTTTTAACAATGATATTTTGGGAAAATTTTCTGTCCGTGAAAACTTTTCTTGAGTGGAAATGGGCCTTATATAAGCAGGCCTGGTTTTGGACAATCGAGCCTGGCTAATACTGACGCTTCGATCTTAAAATAAATACGCGGGCACATTATTTTATGTTTAAATTTCTAAACATGTAGAATGTTTTAAACATATAAATTAATAAAGATGCCTAGTGGAATTTGTTGAGTCGTTGTACTTCAATTTATTTCATATAGCACCTGTATAATAACACCTGCATAATAACACACGGGTGGTGGTTGAAACCTTAGTACCTTTATAGTGGTTTTAAACGAAATGAAATTACTTTATTAGCGTGGCTATAAAGTATGCCTGTTTTCGGCACACCTTATATTAGCGACGGTTTTGCAGCATTTGGCGACACAAATGCAATAAATCTGTATCCGCGGAGGTATGAACTGCAGTTTATGGAATCAATAGGTAATCTATAAAATTATAAAAATGCAGTATGCCATGCAGTGTTCGGTTGCTTTATTACACTGCCTATAAAGTATGCCGGTCAAATTAGGGTCTAATACATTAGTGTTTGTTTAGTGGCCTAATACATTGCAGTGTTTCAATGTTTGAACTTCAGGCTTCACTTCCTGGAGACAATTTGAATCGAATTGGCTGTATTTTACTACGGGTAAATTAACCAACCATGTTGCTTTATTTTGCTCACATGACAATACTGGATATCTGATGAAGTGCATTGACCCTGTTCTATATAGGACAGCTGGATCAAAATTAATTCAGTTTTTGAACTGGATCAAAATTAATTAAGTAATAATTTATACGTGTTTTCAACCTTAAACTTTTACATTTTGCCTTTAAATAACAGTCTATGTTGATTGTTGGAAAGATGTTTATTAGCCTGGCAATGCATACGATATAAAATAATAAAAATATTATCCCTAGCTTGTTTTCGAATCGATTCATTGCTCTGAATTTTTCATCATCGTTTCTGAAATCTTCCTGATCCCAGGATCTTTCCATACTTGTATGTCAGTTAATGTCCGTAATGTCTGTACGTAAATAAGATATAATGTAATTTTTATAGAGGACCAGATTGAAACAAGCGTCAAGCGATAGCTTTATCTGTTAATCCTCGTTAAATAAAGTGTTAGTACTAGATAAAACATGAGCAGCCGATCTCAGCGATCTGTATCTGATATACAAACTCGAGTCGAAGGCGAGAGTTTGTATATCAGATACAGATCGGATGCGAATGTTTTATCGTAATGACCCATCTTGTGAGTTCGTTGGCGAAGTAATTTTAAAAATAAACATTGTCTAAGCCGAGAAAATCAATGCTAAAGTTTATGTAAATCAGGACAAATCTTTAACCGATTTACAAACATTGATTAAACATTCATTAATAATTCATAAGCTTATTGACGAATCATGTCAACCATAATATGTCACGTGCAGTGGCTTTAAACCTGATAAAACACTCCTAATTGGTATTCTTTATATAAAGAATACTAATAAGGCAGTATCTATATTGTAGTCGTGTCCTCATTAGTAATCTTTATATAAAGAATACTAACAAGGCAGTAAATCTATTGAATTTGTAGTCGTGTTTGAAGCCGTTTAATAAACTCGCAGGTCGTGTTTTATTAGAGGTCGTGTTTTATTAGGTCTAAAGCCACTCGCGCTGCGCGCTCGTGTCTTTAAACCTAATAAAACACTCCTGCTCGTTTATTAAACAGTACTTAAACATTCATTTCTTTTGTATATTTTCCTCGTGAATTATTAATGAATTTTTTAATTAGTATTATTTCTTTGGTTATCATTCAACTGCTAACTTCATTTTGGAGCAAGAATGACATTCCAGGCCAACTCAAACTCTCCATGGTAAGAAATGTTACTGCAGCATTATCTGCAGTTTCTTCGAAGAGTGAGTTTTTTTTCAAAGACTATATCAAAATTGCACGATCCGAAGGACGAGTGTAATTTGAAGTCTCTGAAAAACTCACGAGTGTATGTTTTTCCATATATCCATATCACCCTATCACTTGTAAATATTATCTCATTGTTGGGTCAGTGTAATCTTGTACATAGGAGAAATTAAAATTATACTTAAAAAACTCATTAATAAATTCAGGAGGAAAATACAAAAGACTGATCACTGCTATGTCGGTTGTTTTTATTTGTCATAAAAAATTATGTTCATTTACATAAACTTTAGCTTTGATTTTCTCAGCTTGGACAACGTTTAGTTTTAAAATTATACTTCGCCAATGAACTCATCTGATGCGTCGTTTTTTTAAGCCATTTGAAACACTCGCATGAGTCCGTGCTTTATTAGATATAAAACAGTCGAGCTGCGCTCTCGTATTTTCTCGGACAAAGCACTCCTGCACGTGTTTTAACTACTACTATTTAAAACATGAGCATGCAGCAGTGTTTTATCAGATATAAAGATACGAGGCGAAGCCGAGTATCTTTAGGTCTGATAAAACACGCACTGCGAATGTTTTAAATTGCTTCAAAAACGATTTATTGAATGTTAAAAGCAACTAACTATAATTAATTGCTATAGACCCATTGCACATGACGTCACAGCGCCGGTCACGATGCATCTGGAGGACAAATTAGCAATCTATGCATAATATAACTTTTGTAAAAAAACGGCAAATTTTGTAAAACTTCATAATAATTTTGTATTAAAATGGTTAATTTTTGCGCTATATGTGGTTGTTGTACCCGAACAGATCTTGTTGGGGAGCATCTGGGGGACACTCTAAGGATTTGTGACGTCAGTGCGATGGGTCTATACTACTTAACTATTATTATTGACTTGTTTTTTTGAAAACACCTTTGGCAATGTAAACCCCCTGATTGAATAATATTATTATACATTGTAGTCACAACGTGCCTTTTGATTGGCCGATAGCTTACAGCTATAAATATATAAATCACACAACACCTTCACATAACCCAGTTATCTGCTGGCAGATAACTGAGTCATGTCTAGGTTGAGCCCGTAGTATGTCATTTTATAGCAAACGGCAGTTTTAAATATACACGAATAAAAACAAGAAAAAACAAGATGAACGAACGACGTTTTTATGAATTTTTTGTGTAAAAAGCCTTTTTATTAGAACTTTAGTAAGTAGACGAGACTCTTATAATATTATTTTGCTGTTATTGTGATGTACTATTTAAAAAACGAGCAGGAGTGTTTTATTAGGTTTAAAGCCACGAGCGCGCAGCGCGAGTGGTTTTAGACCTAATAAAACACGACCCGCGAGTTTTTTAAATGACTTCAAAAACGTATGCATAATAAGTCAAATCTTTATATAAAAATCTTTATATAAAAATCTTTATATAAAAACCTTTATATAGTTTGCATAACAATGGT